TGAACTTGGAAAAGTAACCGTTCTTGGCAACTTTGACGGTCAGGACCCAGCGTCCGGTCAGAAAACTGACGTCACGTCCAAGCTAGCATCATTGTCCAAATAACTCTTGAGTTCTTCCAACTTAGCCGCGCGAATTTCCTTCGCGTACTTACGCTGCATTTCAAGCGTAAATGTACCTGCCTTGATTTTATCCTGCTTGGTCAACAAAGACGCAAAGCCGTCACCATCCAACGGCACAAACGAAGGCACCGAAAAAATAGGCAAACGGATCAGAACATCTTCGTCACCAACAGCAAGCAAGCTATCGTCACGATAGTCAACGGTCGCGTCAGAATCCGACTCGCCGGCAGCATCCTGCACAGGAGGTTCCGGGGTGAATTCTGGGATGGGTGTTTGCTGAGATATTCTCCCTCAGTCACCGGCAAACCAGGAACCGCAGCCGGACCAGACGACGAAGTTCATCCATTGGAAAGTCACCCGGCGGATCGGGATACTGCTTTCCTGCCGACTGTCCAGGTAGCAACACCAACGGAGGACCGGATGGATGCACCATCCGCGACTTAGCCTTAGACCTATCACCCAGGTGAGTGCCACGTGCACGCGTTTGTGACACATGTCTCGGTGAAGGTGGTCGATGGCTTTGCGGAACAGGAAAATGAGGATGCGGCGGAATCGGAACTGGAATGATAGGAATGGCTGGCGCAGGCCACAGCATTGGCGGACTTAAGACCTGATCCGGATCGCAAACTGCACAAGCGACTCTGCTGCTGCCCTTACTGCCCGGATTCGCAAACTAAACTGCGGAACAGCACCAGGTGCACCAGGCGGACCTCCGTCAGGAGGTGGCTCATCAGTGTACTCCATAGGCAGCGGCTGCTCGTCAGGTGAAGGCCCAAGTCCCAGTCCCTGTGGACCGCCTCCTGGAGGAGGTCCTCCACCATCGCTCGGATCATAGGGCCTTTTCAGGTCCGACTCCCTGCCCGGTACCGGCACCTGCGCGCCGCCTCCGGGAGGAATAGAAGGAGGATCACAACTGGCACCAAGCTCTATCGGATCATCATCAAGATCCGGTTCAGGCTGTTGGACTTCAGGTGCTGGCAAACCTCATCATCCACCGCGTGAGGATCGTCATAATATCCTGGGTAGGAGTTGGTGCGGGTTGATCGGTAAAATCCAACCCGACATCAGGCCCCCGACGTGCAGTCGGACCTTTTGATTCGTTCCAAAACACAATCATGGACCAACTGTCTGCCTTCTTGTCTTTTCGACATGGAAAGAGTTGCGACATCGTCAAGAAAAACACATGGTCATGATCACCCTTGTTCCACACAACTGCATCCGGATGACGATGAACCAAAGGTACTGTCTTTCCATAAATCCCCATGTAGACATTGCAATACTCAAACTCCAGTAGGGAATTGTCAGAACTCTCACATTCTTGATCGTTGGCCGCAGGGCAGCCGCATCGTGAGATGTGTTCGTACGCACTTCCAGATAGTACCTGGTAGCATGTTGTCAATGTGAGACAGAGTCCGGACCAAAGACGAAGTGACAAAACGCTGCGGAGCGACAAACTGCACAGCAGCGAATACTCCTCTGTTGAAGGAAGAGCAAGCAATGCCTCAGAATTCCGATCTAATCGCAGACACAACGCACACAGAGACCCATCATCGAAGTCTTCGAAAAGATCTTCGAACAAGTAGGCTTGTCTCAAATCGGGGTATCTGTTACAACAAGACACTTGGAGAGCAGAACAACGAACCGAGGCCTTTACCAAGCGACTCAAGACGATCCAAGGGTCCTTCAGGAAGGTTCGCGAGAAACGACAATTCTCTATGTTCTCGTTCCTTGTCCTTGAAAGTGCAGAACGTCATGTTGTTTCGCCACTGCAAGGAGCGACTGCACTGAGACAGCCAAAACATGAGAAGTATGCGTGATGGTGACAAAGTATCCTCGATCATCCTGCCAACGGCACACTTCAGCACAGAAATGCCCGAAGGCACGAGCTGCTTTCTTCGGCCATTCTGCAGGAATGACTGGGCGAATGATGATGTGATCAGGCTCAGCCGCTAAGACCGTCTTCCAAGCACAACCAATCGAAGATTGAAAATTCTTGAAGTACCACTCACCAAACAACACAGGTTCACTCGCAACGAGACCTGAATGACAGGTAGACGCAGTGAGACCAGTAAGGTGAAACGAAATCTCAACGAAATCGCTCTTCCCTGAAGTAAGCGATGGTAACAGATTTCATGCTCGTAGCAGCAATAACCTGACGAAGCACGTTCCAGAATCTGATCACCAATACGGTCAAGCGCCTCATCCTGTGATGAGCGTCTTGGACCGTCATCAGACAGAATGGCCGCATCATGCCACGGATCGAGATCACGTCTGACCTGCGACTGATTGACTCGAAGAACAGCGCGATGCACTTCAACCGACCCCATGGCACCTTCGTGTGACACAACAATTTCTCTGACCCAGACGCCTTCAGACTTCTTCTTCGACTCATCCCTATGCCCTATGCCAGACAAAGACACGATCTCCATTCTTGTATGGACCATCGGACGGCATCATCCGTCGTGCCAGATCCTTCCGAAGATCGATCGACTGTCGAGCTTCTTGATAAGCCCTCATAGAAATCCTCTGGAGATCCAGAGTGGTCCTGTCCTCTTCGGCTGAGTCAACAGAGAGCTGTTCGGGAGCGCTCGTCTC